AAAGATATCTCAACAGCAGAACAGAATCTACCCGACACTTTGGTATTTACTACCGTTTCAGCTCCAACTGGGAAAATTCATATTTTCCGTATTTACTTAACTGAAAACTTCCTCATTTAATGTAAACCTAGCATTCTTAATATGGTCAAGTATACGATAACTGTTTGCTTTAGATATAAGCGGAAAATGTTTATAGTTTAAACATCATCTATACGTTGTGAACAGCTTTCGAATTTATCGGGGAATTTTCCTTTTCACAAGCTCAGGTCATCGTACAGACGGACCAAAAGATATCTGGTGAGGTGTTTTCTCTGTTTGAAGCTATTTAATCAGTTGAAAATAATAAATAGACAGTTTTCAAAAAGAGAAAATAAGAACTAAGAGTATAATAATGCATTAACAGTGATTCCAAGATTGTTCAACTGAACGACTGTTCATTCTGACTTTGGAATAGTGATCCAAGAACTGTGAGCGAGTAGCGTCATACACCTATGTAGCTTTAAAAACTGAATCAACATTTTCCTGTAGTTTTTGTTTTCGACGGAAAAGAATAAAATCTGCAAAAAAATCTTTGAGAATAACCGGTTTATTTCGAGCGGTTACTTTAAAAAGTCCTTAATTCAATATCTGTGAGGTGATCTCACTTTTTTTAAGATAATGTTTATTTTGTGTTTACATGTATGTATCTATAGCTCCTACAAGCAATTGTGGGCCGGCCGGCCCTGATGTTCTGATAGAGAAAGCGGATGCATCAGCCTTCAAGAAGCGAGGATTTCTTTTTGGTTGGCCTGTGGGCCTTAACGAAGAATGTTGCGGGGAATGGCCATGTACGCAAGAAGAAATAAACGAAGTTGGTGGGCATGCGATAACTCCTAAACAGGTCAATATTTATTATTATTTATTATCATTAAGGTGACTCCGACATAACTCGTTTGGCGCAAAAAATGTCCAAATATTTATGTTTTTTTATACATATTTGTTAATCGAGCTCATCCATTGATAAGCGATATTTATCAAACTCATTAATAATTCATAATGTTATTAGCCAATGATATACTGAGAATCTAATCACATGATTATACCTTTATATTGGATAAAAAGGACAGCAAGCTCAAAGTTGGGGGCGGCTTGATACAGAACTAATGTTTTATTAATTAGGTCTGTATCAGGAAAACATTGAGTAATAATCAGCCTCGCACTCCCCTGAAAATATTCAAAATGTCTAAACTCGCGTGTAATCAAACACAATTAAAACACACTGAAAAATCAATATTGTATCTATGCCGTTTCGTTTCCTCGCGATTTACTCGAACGTCGGATAAGYTCCTTTGTTTTTCTTGGCGCCTCGTCTTGTATGAATTTGACCATCCAAAAAATCAACGACTCGGCGTTCATGTCATCAAGACCAGCGTCAGCATATCCTGGAATGACTCGCTGTTTTTGAAACTGAAACTGGTGCTCCCATTAATGGCTTTCTTGTTCGCACGGTCTTTTTGTCGGTCACAAAATAAGGTTGCGGACCATTTTGTTGAAAACTTTGTGGAACACTCCCCCGAACAATAGCGCTTTCTTTTATGCTGAGTTTTAGGTCTGCTAAATCGACTCGATATGTCTTCAAGGGAGAAATTAAAGCCAACTGATTTAATTTTTGCTAACTATGAATGCCTAATATCTTGCAATTCCTTTGACAATTCTAATTTTCTATATTTTCTATATAGTTTGGCAATCACATTCTTTAAAAAACAATAGGAAAATAAACAATTTTCAGGAGGAAGTATAAAGAGCTTCTAATGTGACAATTCCACTTTCAATTAATCATTTAGAAATTCCCTTSATAGTTCAGTCGTTTCATGAAACAATGGCGTCATACAAACAGTTATATTTGACGAATATTTAATAACGGCGACATACGTTGATAATTTTAATCGATGAAATGCAGCAAGATATTAAATTTTTCAAAAACATTAAAATGAGAATTATTATAAAGTTTGATAAGCCGTATACAGAACTCGAGAGCGTGTTGTATCGGGTGATAAAGCCTTCGCCTTCGGCTCGGATCTTTATCACCCGATACAACACGCTCTCTCGTTCTGTATACATTACAAAAACAACAATAAGAGCATTGCAGTCAACTTTGTTTAAGAAATTTCTGTTTTAAGAAGATTTTCCTCAATCTCTAATAATTTTTTGGCCGTACATGTACATGTACATGTAACAACGATCTCCTCGTGTAAAAATATAAGAAATTAGATTTAGGATTAAAAACAACAACAACAACAACAAAAAGATTTAGGATCATTGCCCTTTTTACAGAATTCCATACTGGAATGTTGTTATTCCAGCAATGTTGAAATAGTGTGATTTTGAATCTGTGTTATAGAGCAGCTCACAGATTACAAATTTTCTCCAAACTCTGCTGACAAAATGCTAACCATCTATTTACTAAGAAACTAAGCTTAAACAAAATCGTACAATTTTATTTTCTACGAAATGGAAGGCAAAACGTTTCGAAACAACTGTTTGAATGATATCGGCCCGTGTTGGCAAACACGATACTTAAATAGAAATTGCGAATACACCATCAAAGCCTTGATTGCTTCAACTATTTCATGTGTAAAAGTCATGAATATCTGAACACTTTTGACGCAAAACGAGTGATTTAAAAAAAAAATCACTGAATCCGCTCGCCGTTATGATGGAGTGACCTTAATAAGCAAGCGCATGCATCTATAATGCTATTGAATTTAATAATAAATGTTATCCAAAATATTGATAAATTATTTATCTTTATGCCTTTTCTTTTTTTAGTATGCACGGAAGCATTGCCCGCACGTTTTAGGAAAGCGTCAGCAGCCTTAGTTGGGCCTTGGTGAAATTCCTTAGAATGCCAGTATATGTTAAAGGCATTTGCAAGGAGATGCATGTATATGATAAAACCGACAGAAACTACATAATTATGTTAAAGAAGAAAAGGAATAATATATAATGAAAATAATAAGCTACGAATAACTTAATTCTGA